ATTAGTAACAAGTGCCACGCTAGTAGTAACAAGTGCCTTACTAGTAGTAGCTGTTTTCGAATGCAAAAGAAGTAGATATGTAGCAAAGGACGCTACTAGGAGCAAAGGGCATCGCTACTAGGAGCAAGGGCCTTACTACTAGGAACAAGAAGCTAGTAGAAACTATATGGTATATATAATTGGAGTAAATGAATTAGGAAGTCCAGTTCGACGATATTTTGCCACATTGAAGTAGAGGAAGTTCTGCAACTGGGGTCACCTAAAGACTATTCATTTTATAGTCCCTGACTCCCAGGATGTATATATATATATATGTGATTGTTTCTAATGCGTCCACCCTAATAGCAATGGCCTCCAACCAAATAGCACTGGCCGTAGCGATGGCCTCCAAAATAGTCTTGGACTCCCATGGGATTCTGTGGGTTTCTTCCACTACAGTAGTGGAATCAGTCACAGTGTTCGGGCTTCTTTCCTCATCTCGCCATCAATGGACGAGTCTTGGCTCTCTTGGTGTTCCACGGCCGTTTGAGGGGTCCGATCTGTGTCGATCGCGTCGACCCGCCCGCGTCGTCGCAGACGAAGTGCCCGACGGAGCTGACGCTGTTGGCGCTGTTGGAACACGGCAGTGCCAAGGAAACCGTCGAAACCGTCGATTCGTGGCGATGCGTGGCGAGACGTTCAGGTGTGAGCAGACAGGACAGAGATGTCTGTCACACATGTCGGGCATGGGAATCACTGGGGATTTGTGAATCTTGTTTGTCGCACGGACAGCACACGGCATCAATCCACTCCAACAGCCTATTTTGGCCTATTCTTATCACTGCGGCATTGGATGCCGTTGAGCGTAGCGCTGCGCTCCTGATAGGGGACGTGCCGAGATCCAAGATGACGTCCAGGGAATGGCAGATGTGATATGACGCTCAGCCTAGTCTAGCCTAGTCTGGTAGTCTCTTGTCCATCTGGTACAGAGATCGCAGGTTGCCGAGATGCAACTGGTGATGGATGATGCATCATTTATGACTCATGGATATCTGAGGGTGCCTCATTCGGGAGTGACATCTAATTTCTGTAGACTTGTTGCCCTTACCAGTTGTTTTATACCGTACCACTGAAACCAACAGGACGGATTATTGGTTCGGCCCACTCAAGATTGATAGTTATGGGGCACAACATTTGTTTTCGGCGCCTCATGCTGTCTTTTTCGGAAATTCCACGTCCATGCGTTTTCCCTTTCCAAGCGGGGCGTTTACACGTGCGTGTAACACACGCGACCCTCACTTATGGAAGTGGCCATTTGAGGCTGAGGCTTGACACCTGTGGGCCAGGCTTCCTTAGCAGCGCAACAATCCAACATCAAACTGTGCAAAGTGCAGAAGACCAAGACCAGGTAGACACAGAACTTTTGCGAGAGAGAGAGAGAGAGAGATAGAGGGAAGGAGGACCATGCCTCCCATGTGACAGCGACAGGGTTGTATGTCAGTCAAAAAGGTCTAATATTCTCCTTTGCAGGTTTAAGAAGGCATCAACGACACACTACTATTTGCCGTGGTCCAATAATTTCTTTGGGCTTTTGCAGGACATGTCAATCATCAAAGGCTTGACCAGCGATGACATCAAGAAGGTGCCCTGAATGAAGGGGTGAGACGTGCCACCAACAGTTGGCCAAATTTGGTGTTCTCCATTTGAAGGAACCAATGATATGTTCAATTGTTGCAGCGGTCGTGTCGAACATGTTGTGTGTCCTACGTCCCAGAACGGAGACAGTAGAGACTACTGTCTCTGTTGAGTGCTTGAAAGAGTGCTTTGAGCTGCATCCAACGTGTCTCTTGAACCGAATCCGTCTTTTGGAGCGATCTTTGAGAGGAAGCGAGCTTCCACCTTGGTGGCGCCGGCGTGCCATGCTAGTCTGTTGTATTTCTTGTGAAGCGCTCTCTTTCTCTCTCTCTCTCTATCAGCTTGGATGGTGGCCATCGCTATTAGGCTTGCGCTCGCTTGCTCTCTTTCTTTTTGCCTGGTGAGTTTCATGCACACAGACACACTCGCCTGAAACGGGCGCCGCAGAGCGCCGCTCTCTGCGGATCTCAGTTTCGATTCATAAGCCAATTAAATTCTAATTATTGTTTCTATTAGCGAACATTGTTCTTAGTACGGCCAGGAGCCCCTAGTAGCGATGCCCTTGTTCCTAGTAGCGAAGGAGGAGACTCTTGTGGCCGAGGTCATGGCCTCTCGGAAGCGTGGCCGCGGCATGGCCGGAGATCTGCAGACGCTGCCGGCCGTGCTGCAGCCGCGTTCCTGGCACAGCGGCGGTTGGCCACGCCGGCCCTTCCGGTCCATTCTATTTCTTGTTTCTAATAGCTTCTTGTTCCTAGTCGTAAGGCCAGTAGCTACTAGTAGCGTCCTTGCTCCTAGTAGCGATGCCAGGAGCCCCTACTACCTTGTTACTAGTAGTAATGCCCTTGTTACTAATAGCGATGGCCTCCAGGGTAACAGGATCCTGGGTGTTTGTCCATGCCATCTCTTCCGGCAAGATGGCTTGATCGACACAGGACTAGTTGCAGAACAGATGACGCCGACAAAAGGGTGGATTTCATAAGCCATAGAGCCCATTTCCCACCTGAAAAGTGATCACCCCTCTTCAATGACCGAGGGGTCGCCACAAACAAGAGGCTCGTGCGGCGAACGAGGCGGAAGATCTCCATTCGCCAGCTCATTGCTGAGAACGGCGTAGCCTAGACGGCCACCGGAGAAGGGGTGGCAGCTGGTGGGTGGCATTGTTTGAGAAAGCCGGTGAAACTCGAGTACATGGGTACAGTAGACAGACTGTTTGAACTCGAGTTGAATTCCCTCGCGTGGCTCCGGAACTGTTCAATCACTTTCTGGATGACCCGTCTGAGAGCATGGATTGATCATGACATAGCATAGGTCCTCGACACTCCCTGAAATCATCATGGCAGTAGAGTTAACAAAATGTTAACAACCTGTTTGATTCGGAAGTAGCTTATTAATTAAGTTCTATTTTTTGTTTCTAATTGCTTCTTGTTACTACTAGTAAGGCACTTGTTACTAGTAGCGATGCACTTGTTCCTAGTAGCTTATTGAATAAATAACAAATGTTAACAACCTGTTTGATTCGGAAATCAGGGCCAGGCCATCCACGTAACCTGGTTACGTGGGTCCTTTCGACCGTCGAGGCTTAGGAGCCCGTCGGACGGAACCCCCACCCGAACGTCCCGTGTTGCAACGCACCGCCACACAGCTGCCGCGTTTGAAGCGAGGGTGGGATGGTTCAACATTTCCTTCTGTAGCAAGGGCATCGCTACTAGTAACAAGGGCAAAGCTACTAGTAACTATAGGTAATAGATCTGTGACAAAATGCGGAGTCCAGCTTGAGGTCCTCAACATTTCCTTTTTGCCAAAGCCAGAAGTCTTGACTCTCCCGCCAGCGGATGAATTCGTCGGCTGAGCACCGATCCCTCCCCCCCCCCCGGCGGAAGCCGTCGGCCAGGCTTTCAAAACGTGGAATGAATTTGTCAAAAGAACACACGCTTGAAAGAAAAACATCTGGTGACATCGAGCGTTCATCGAATGCTTCAATCTACCAAGGGTGTTCTGGTCGCCAATGCGTTTGTTAATTCTGCGTGCTGTCAGAGTGTCTTTTTTGTCGGGTGTCCGCGTGCTATCTTTGGATGTGTTTGTGCAAAGGTGACCCCTGGACATGGTTTCCCAAACTGGTGAGATCCCCTTGGTTTTGATTGCGACAGTTTGCTTGGACTTGGACTTTTCTGGCACAGACTCACCAGAAACATCACGAATCCCCGAAACAGGTTTGGGGTAAGAATTACATACTTCTCTATATCGCTATATACTAGGAGCAAGGACGCTATTAGGGGCTCCGTTTGGCCTGGCAGGCAGGAGGGCTCAAACAGCGCTGAGAAGAATCTCAGACAGCGGTGGGATCCAGCGGTTGCTCAGACAGCCGATTTTGCATGATATTTCGAGCAGGGACCTCCGACAGACGTGGGCCCAGCTTTGAATCGTCGTATGTCAAGGGAGAAACGACCGAGAAAAAGATGTGGAATGAACTATTTGCACTTTTGGCAAGATGTCTTTCGTTCAACCGATGACGCTGTGGTTCATTTGGGGTTCTGATGGGAAAGCACCTCGAGTTTGTCTACCAACATTCTTTCCCGAAAGGTTCGCCAAGCCGGAGATGTCGCGGGTTCTTGTCCTCACCTGATGGTTCCAAAGCATACGACGTGAGAAAGCGATGTGGGGAAGGAACTGATTCGAAAAAAACCATGGTGAACAATTCGAAAGAAACACATTTGTGTCGATTGTGGCTGGTTTAAAAGCACTTGTGAATGAGAGGGCAAGCTGTCAAAGGGTTCCATTTTCCTGACACATTTTGCATTGCCTGGTCCAAGTCTTCAACATAGCAGAACTTTGTTCGATTTCGTCAGGGCAGCCAGCTTTCGCCTCTCTTGCACAGAGTTGGCGATTAGGCTTTGAAGTTGGGTGAAGGTTTTGACGTTGGAGACCCAATAAACGGAGCTACTAGGGTCTCCTGGCATCGCAGGGGCTCCTGGCCTTACTAGGAGCAAGAAGCTATTGGAAACAAGAATTCAATAGAAGAATTCATCGACCCCGCCTTCGCCGCCGTTTGGGCCCGCAGCATTTAGCGCAAACCCGCGGTGTCGAAACGACAGACACATTTCCGTACCATGAGACCCTCGGCCGATGATGTTCTGCGTTCGCGTAGGGAATGAGATCGAACGTAGCTAGTAGCTTCTTGTTACTAGTAGTAAGGCCAGGAGCCCCTAGTAGCATCCTTGCTCCTAGTTGAGTTGCGGCGCCTCCGTCTGGATTTTTCTTTTGGAGGCCATCGCTCTTAGGTAACCTAATAGCGACGGCCTCCAACCTAATAGCCACGATGTTTAGGAAGCATGGATGTTTAGCAACTATACCGTACCCCAGCCCACCATGTTTAAGCCAGCAATAAATAGCAGCGATCAGAATCAGCATGTCTTGGGGTCCTAAGAAGCTGCCTGAGCTTCGACTGTTCGCTGCTCCTTATGCTACTTCATAAGGTCTCGAGTAAATGAAGGATCAGCCAATGGCCAAAGAAATATGTATAGGTTGTGTGAAACCAGGAGCAAACAAACATCCGTTCACACCTTTCTTCGGTTAAACACCCTTGAAAGGACTTGGCCTGCCTGCTCTGGCGTTCTCCCAAGGACAAGTCCTGTGGAGCTTGCTGCCAGTAGCACTAGGAGGAGGTTGCCCTTGGACTCTTGGAGAGGCTCTTGAAGAGCTCGGGCCGGAAGGGCATACTTTTGCCAAACCCATCCGGAAGCCACGGAAAAAGGCTGGATGAAGCTTGTTGGGGAGGGTGCTAGAGCAGATTGTTCCCGAAGCACTTTCCCATGTCCTTTTGCCATATGATCCATGAGTGCCCATATGTGTTTGTCTCTGCACCAGCGCTTAGATGGCCCACCTCGCTTGCGCCTCGCGACTGTGTAGCGCCTTGTGCGACAGTTCACGCGGGTGTAAACGTCAAGTGCCAAGCTGTAGAGGTGTGAGTCGGTCGGTTCGATCCTCTCATTTCGCTCGAGCCCGCGTGCCAGGTGCTTTGCGGTTTGCCTTCGATTCGATTTTTTCAGTTTTCTCAGGACCTCTTCATGGCAGTGGGAGGGTGTCTTCCACATCCACAAGGGGGGCACTTACTTGTGGAGCGCCTCTTGGCGAGCGGAGCGAAGCAGTCGATTGGGTGGGAACAAATCGGACCGAGAGATTCCGGGCCCAGAAAATAGATGTATTTGTTTGGAATCCCGAAGAAACGCATAGAAACTCATTGGTTCACTAGGGATTTGACACGACAAACCTATAGGTCAACCATTTGAAAGGTCAACTTCCGGAGGGAAAAGGTGGCAAATCTTTTTTCCCATGCGATTTGGACCGACATCGACGGAAACATCGAAGCGCCCCAAGCGCTCCAATCGAAGCCATCATGTGTATCAGATGTGTATCGGATCGAAGTTCGCTCGTTTTGAATGATTTTTCACCTCTTGTTACCAGTAGCTAACATTGTTCCTAGTAGTTCGGGTAGGAGCCCCTAGTAGCGTTCTTGCTCCTAGTAGCGATGCCAGGAGCC